CATTTATTTTCCGGTCGTATTTCCTCCCTTTGACATTGAAATGCCTCATCGAAGTTGGGAAAATATTGGCTAATTATATTCAGGAGATAAGCATTTTTCGTACCCAACTCGACATCGGCATCATTTACACAAAATTGCTGGGCCATATTCAAATAAAATAATTTTTGCCATGGTATATCGGTAAAGTCGGGTTGAAGCTGCTTTTCATCCCCCTGCGCACGCAGGTAGGTGTGATAGGCCACCATTACCGCTCCCACATTCCGAGGAATTTTCCCTAATTTGGGATTATTGTGAAACCGCTGAAGACACTGTGAGTAACGATTCCAATCTGAGCGCGGCGGATAAAAATAGGTTTTTCCCAACAATTGGCTTTGGACGGTATTGTGGGCCATTAGAAATCCCAAGGAGGATATTTTGAAAATCGAGTGGAACTCCGTATGATAAATTGGTGGCTGTAGAATACCCAGGGGCAATAGCAACATGTTACGTCTTTCATCATAGAATGGGGCGGAGGATGGGCCCATATACTGATCTGAATACATGACGTGTCGGGAGTGGTGTAGACGTTGCAATGAGGTGACCATACGATGCCGCATCAGATGCAAGTGATTGGTGAAGAAATTATTGAATTCTAGTTGCGGGATATCGGCAAACAGTTGTCGAATGTGAGAATTGCGCAGGGCACTGGGCAGATTACCCAAATTGAGCTGTTGACCATCAATTGCAGGACGTAGATTTTCCATAATAAAACGTTCAGATTTTGTCTCAAATAATTCGATTAGATTCTTACGGATCTGACGAAACATTTGATCTACATCGGAACGTGTGGGACCTTTATACAGACCCTCGGCTTCATAGTATAGCAATGTTAGAGGTAAATCCAATTTACGTCGAACCTCCTTGATGCAATCCAGTGCGGTGTAACCCCTAGTAGCCTTATTCTGCATTAGGAATCGCAGCCAATGCAGCATAATATAATTGCAAATGTGCTCTTTTTCCTCATCGGTCCACACCTGGGACCGTAGAAAATCGAAATAATCCAAATTGGAAATCTCAAATTTCACCGTTTTCTCAAAATTTAAAATCCCTATATTTCGTATATATTTTTGTAAATTCGGAAAATTTTGCTTTAGCTCGGCATAATCCATAACGGAGTTGAAGACATGAGATGCGGACATCGAGGAGTACTTCTCATACATTCGATTCCATTCAATTTGTATTTCATTTAGACGTTTTGTGTGTTCCGCAATATCAGCCGGAGGTACATCGAGTTGTTGTAAAATCGCCTGCATTTCCAATTGGCTTAACATATCCTGCCGGGGTTCAGCCAATACAATCATCGTCTCATTAAGGGTCTCATTGATGTACGGCCTGATGAGCACCTTTTCAAATCCATAGTCCACCAATTTACCCAGCAGGGAATATATTTCGAATTGCACGGCAGGCCATGCTTTTGGTCGATGCAATTTCCACAATATTGGCCATTCCAAATTCTCAGCTGGGCGGATGATTTTCAAATATTCCTGGAGGGGCCTTCTACCAGCTGCCTTGAGGCACGATTCATAATAAACACGAGTGTTGTTGAAAACATCCATTTTCAGCTTCTCCTCCGTCAGGGTATCGACAAGGTAAATCAATTTCAAATTCATTTGATGATCCACTAATTGTACGCCATCGGCATATTCGGAGGACAGGTGTTGGGAAGGCCAATTGTTGCAGGCATAGCCATATAAATTTTGACAAGGATTCACCTTCTCGTCCAGGGACAATTTGATTCGCTGCAATTGTTGACAATCGGGGGACGTTGAATTCGGCTGACATTTCTCAGCCAGGGTGGGTGTAAAAATTGCCAACGAGCAAAATATTAATTGAAGGAATTTCAACATTATTTTCAATGGAAATTCCGACCTGCTTCGTTTCCGCAAACACCACGACACAAATGATTCCAAAAAATAAATACAACTAAAATAAGAAAGCTAACAATTGATGCATCAGTTCATACGACAATGATAGCAGCTCTATTCTTATCTCCAACCATTGTTCCGAAGAACCCATAGCATATTTTACCAGACAGTGGTGGGCAAAAATATATAAATATTTTATTAAAATTAATTTTAAGAATGTTTACGCCCTCTGACGAACTGAAACCGTCTGAAGATTTTTAAATACATTTTTCAGAGGCCTAACTAGGGCGTAGATTTTTTGCATAAATTTTTCTGAGACCTTAGGGTCTACAGAAGGCGTAGATTTTTTAAATAAAATTTTCTGAGACCTTAGGGTCTACAGAAGGCGTAGATTTTTTAAATAAATTTTTCTAAGATCTTAGGGTCTACAGAAGGCGTAGATTTTTTAAATACATTTTTCAGAGACCTTAGGGTCTACAGAAGGCGTAGATTTTTTAAATAAATTTTTCTGAGACCTTAGGGTCTACAGAAGGCGTAGGTTTCTTAAATACATTTTTCTGAGACCTTAGGGTCTACAGAAGGCGTAGATTTTTTAAATACATTTTTCTGAGACCTTAAGGTCTGCAGAAGGCGTAGAATTTTTGCATAAATTTTTCTGAGACCTTAGGGTCTACAGAAGGCGTAGATTTTTTAAATACATTTTTCTGAGACCTTAGGGTCTACAGAAGGCGTAGATTTATTAAATACATTTTTCTGAGACCTTAGGGTCTACAGAAGGCGTAGATTTTGTAAATACATTTTTCTGAGACCTTAGGGTCTACAGAAGGCGTAGATTTTTTAAATACATTTTTCTGAGACCTTAGGGTCTACAGAAGGCGTAGATTTTGTAAATACATTTTTCTGAGACCTTAGGGTCTACAGAAGGCGTAGATTTTGTAAATACATTTTTCTGAGACCTTAGGGTCTACAGAAGGCGTAGATTTTGTAAATACATTTTTCTGAGACCTTAGGGTCTACAGAAGGCGTAGATTTTTTAAATACATTTTTCTGAGACCTTAGGGTCTACAGAAGGCGTAGATTTTGTAAATACATTTTTCTGAGACCTTAGGGTCTACAGAAGGCGTAGATTTTGTAAATACATTTTTCTGAGACCTTAGGGTCTACAGAAGGCGTAGATTTTGTAAATACATTTTTCTGAGACCTTAGGGTCTACAGAAGGCGTAGATTTTTTAAATACATTTTTCTGAGACCTTAGGGTCTACAGAAGGCGTAGATTTTGTAAATACATTTTTCTGAGACCTTAGGGTCTACAGAAGGCGTAGATTTTGTAAATACATTTTTCTGAGACCTTAGGGTCTACAGAAGGCGTAGATTTTGTAAATACATTTTTCTGAGACCTTAGGGTCTACAGAAGGCGTAGATTTTGTAAATACATTTTTCTGAGACCTTAGGGTCTACAGAAGGCGTAGATTTTGTAAATACATTTTTCTGAGACCTTAGGGTCTACAGAAGGCGTAGATTTTGTAAATACATTTTTCTGAGACCTTAGGGTCTACAGAAGGCGTAGATTTTGTAAATACATTTTTCTGAGACCTTAGGGTCTACAGAAGGCGTAGATTTTTTAAATAAATTTTTCTAAGACCTTAGGGTCTACAGAAGGCGTAGATTTTTTAAATAAATTTTTCTGAGACCTTAGGGTCTACAGAAGGCGTAGATTTTTTAAATACATTTTTCTGAGACCTTAGGGTCTACAGAAGGCGTAGATTTTTTAAATAAATTTTTCTGAGACCTTAGGGTCTATAGAAGGCGTAGATTTTTTAAATAAATTTTTCTGAAACCTTAGGGTCTACAGAAGGCGTAGATTTTTAAAATAAATTTTTCTGAGACCTTAGGGGCTACAGAAGGCGTAGATTTTTTAAATAAATTTTTCTGAGACCTTAGGGTCTACAGAAGGCGTAGATTTTTTAAATACATTTTTCTGAGACCTTAGGGTCTACAGAAGGCGTAGATTTTTTAAATAAATTTTGAAACCCACTATGGCCTCCAGGTTTTTTAAATAAATTTTGAAACCCACCTGGAGGCCATAAGGCATGGATTTTTTAAATAATTTTTGAAGCCCACCTGGAGGTCATAAGGCGTAGATTTTTTAAATAAATTTTTCTGAGACCTTAGGGTCTACAGAAGGCGTAGATTTTTTTAATAATTTTTTTCTGAGGCCCAACTAAGGCGTAGATTTTTTAAATAATTTTTTTCTTAGGCCTAACTAAGGCGTAGATTTTTTAAATAATTTTTTTCTTAGGCCCACCTAAAAAAGGCGTGAATTTTTTAAATAATTTTTTTCTGAGGTCCACTCATATAAGGCGTGGATTTTTTAAATAATTTTTTTCTGAGGCCTAACTAAGGCGTAGATTTTTTAAATAATTTTTTTCTGAGGCCTAACTAAGGCGTAGATTTTTTAAATAATTTTTTTCTGAGGCCTAACTAAGGCGTAGATTTTTTAAATAATTTTTTTCTGAGGCCTAACTAAGGCGTAGATTTTTTAAATAATTTTTTTCTGAGGCCTAACTAAGGCGTAGATTTTTTAAATAATTTTTTTCTGAGGCCTAACTAAGGCGTAGATTTTTTAAATAATTTTTTTCTGAGGCCTAACTAAGGCGTAGATTTTTTAAATAATTTTTTTCTGAGGCCTAACTAAGGCGTAGATTTTTTAAATAATTTTTTTCTGAGGCCTAACTAAGGCGTAGATTTTTTAAATAATTTTTTTCTGAGGCCTAACTAAGGCGTAGATTTTTTAAATAATTTTTTTCTGAGGCCTAACTAAGGCGTAGATTTTTTAAATAAATTTTTTCTGAGTTTTTCTTGTTTTTAATTTTTATATTTTTGTATTATTATTTTTGCCCACCACTGTAATGCGAAGATGGCTCTTAAGGAACAATTCTTTGAGATAAGAATAGAGCTGCTATCACAATGGGTCGCACCACTGAGGCATCAATTGGATTTTCCATAATTTAGTTGATTCTCATATTTCGAATCATTTGTGTCGTGATGGTTACGGCCACGATGCGGGATATAAAATCAGAATTTCGTTTAAAAATAATGCCAGATTGTCTTCAATTATTAGTTTGCTTGTTGGCAATTTTTAATGGGTTCCTCTTCACACCTGCCCTGGCAGAGAAATGTCTGCCGCATTCAAGAAACCCCAACTGCCAACACTTGCAACGAATCAAACTTTCCCTGGACGAAAATGTGAATCCCTGCCATAATTTCTATGCCCATGCCTGTAACAATTGGCCCTCCCAGCACATGTCTTCCGAATATGCCGATGCCCTACAATTGGTGGATCATCAAATGAACTTGAAATTTATACGCCTGGTCCAGACCATGACAGAGGAGAAGCTGAAGTTGGATTTTTTCAACAACACTCGTGTGTATTATGAATCGTGTCTGAAGGCAGCGGCAGTCCGAAGACCTCTGCCGGAATATTTGAAAATCATCCAGCCGGCTGAGAATTTGGAATGGCCAATAATGTGGAAAATACGCATAGACAATACAGAAAATTTGGAATGGGAATTAGTTGTGGAATTACTCCGAGAAAATGATAAGAAATCATGGCCAGGCGGGCAATTCGACATATATCACCTGCTGGGTGAATTGGCGGATTATGGATTTGACCAGGTCCTCATAAGGCCATCGATCAAGGAGACCCTAAATGAAACAATATTGGTTTTGGCTGAACCCAAGTGGGACACCGTAACACATTTGGATATGGAAGATATGTTAAACCGTCTGCAGGTACATCCCGCTGATGTCTACAAGTACACCAAAAGGCTAAGCGCAATGCAGACTAAATTGAATCGCATGTCGGGGAAGTTTGAATACAATTCTACATCGCGTGTATTTAATTCAATGGGAGATTATTCCGAATTAAAGCAAAAATATCCGATGTTACGAAAATATCTTCATAATATTGGCATCCTGAAGTTCGAGAGAAATCTAAAAATTGAAATTTCCAATTTGGATTATTTTGATTTGCTTCAGACCCAACAGTGGACCGATGAGGAAAAAGAACAGATTTGCAATTATATTATGCTGCATTGGCTACGGCTTCTGTTGCAGGATAAGGCCAGCCCGGGTAATACTAAATTAGATTGTATCAAAGAGGTTCGTAGTAAATTCGATTTACCTCTAACCTTGCTGTACTATGAAAATTTCTTTAGGCCACATGAACGTCCAATTAGTTCCGACATCTACCACATGTTTCGTCAGATCCGTAAGAGTCTAATACAATTTCTTGAAAATAAACCTCAGGAGTTTGTGATGGCAAATCTACGATCTGAAATTGATGGTCAACAGTTAAACTTGGGTAATCGGCCCAGTACCCTGCGCAACTCTCACATACAACAATTATTTGCCGATATCCCGCAACTAGAACCCAACAATTTCTTCGTCAATCATTTGTATCTGATGCGTCACCGTATGATCACCTCACTGCAACGTCTACACCATTCCCGACACGTCATGTATTCGGATCATCACCAGAATGTGGGTATTTCCTCCGCCCCATTTTATGATGAAAGACGCAACATGTTGCTGCTGCCCCTGGGTATTCTACAGCCCCCAATTTATCATCAGGAACTCCATCCGATTTTCAAATTCTCTTCACTGGGATTTCTAATGGCTCAACATATCAACCACACCCATTTGGCTGGAATGTCATATTTTTTACCACCCCGCACAGATTACGAAGAAGCATACCAACAGTGTCGTAATCGTTTCAAGACAGAACCCAAAAAAGTGTTAATTGCCAGAAATGTGGGAGCAGCAGCTATAGCTTATGATTCATACCTCTCCGAACAGCCCGGATATCAATTTCAACCTGAATTTACCGATATACCATGGCAACAATTATTCTATCTAAATTTGGCCCAGCTGTTTTGTGTCGCTGAGAATGGCACACCTCGCGAATATCGGAACCGTTTTATACTGCATAAGATTGCCGCATATTTTCCAACCTTCAATGAGGCATTTCAATGTAATCGAGATGATATCGAACCCGAAAGCATTTGTGTATTTAATACTAATCTATATTATTTGTAAAAAATAATAAAGAATATTGTTAAAAAATCGAAGCATGTGTGGGACAACCAAAAAAATTTTTAAAAAAATCTACGCCTTGTATAGATAGTCGAACATGACAAGGCGACATCTATACGTCATCTACGTGACTAACGAAATTATACCTGTAAGGTGGGTGTCATTGCTAACGATCACTGGTTAATATGTTCATTTGGTGCTTGTCTACACTCAGCAACTAGCGGTGAGAATACAGTACATATCGTGTATGTACCCACTGGAATGCCTATAAGCAGAGGCAACCACCAGAATTGGTTTTATGACTTTTACCAATTTCCCCATAAATACCCTACTTGATGCTCATCTTAAAAGGAAACCAATATTTTTCACCATTTGCTGACCTTTTTAAACAAATCCTTGCATTTTTAAAAATATCTTTTCCTTGTGTGGGTCCTTTAAAAAATATTTAAATTTTAAAATATTTAGACCTTAAAAACATTATTTTTTTCTAAATAAATAATTTTTTTATTATTATTTTTTAATTCTAATTCTTTTTTTTACCACAAATTACATTTCTCTAAAATTACACGACGCTTTGTAGACCCTGGCGAACACTGAAATACCTCTTCAAATTCTCGATGATTGGCCACCACCTGAGGCACTCGATATTGTGGCGTATCATGACTCTCATCATAGGTAATGCGTCGTGGATTTATGGCACAAAAAAATTGGGCAAATTTTATAAAAAATAATTGCCGATCGCTAAGAGGTGTGGACCAGCCCTCCGGCTGCCTGGGATGCCTCCGTTCAAAATATGTGGCATAGGCCAAATTAAAACCGCTGATATCGGCAATTTTTTCATTTAAACTTGCCGATTTTTGTTGGGCAAAACATCGAAGAGATTTTACAAATTCCCGCTTCTCGCCAAGACTTGAGCTGAGTAGGGTAGAGGGGTTCCCATAGGCATCATAATCCAAACCATTGATCTCAAAGGCATGCATAATTTCATGACCCAAAGTGTTGCCCAATTCCGCATAGAGGAATAACGGATGAAAGCCTGGATGGAAAATCGGAAATCGAAGATAGGCATGGGGTATTACAATCAAATTTGCGCTGGGTTGAAAGGCCGGTGAACCATAGGGCCACACAAAGAATGTGTGATGGGGTGTAGATCCTTTCAGGAAAAGCCTCTGATATTTTTGCCTATAGTAATGCTGCAGGGCATTCATGTGGTTCCAATAGAAATCATCATCCACGACGTGCCAATTACGAAAATATTCCGTATAAAAATTCTCCCCCCTCTTGGTTTGGGGTAAGTTGCCAATATTCAATTTCATGTAATGGATTTTCCGCTGGAGAAACTCAATTTCCCGCTCGGAAAATTCTCCCAAGTGATGTTGTAAAATCTCCGAAAATTTCAGCTGCATTTGGTTGAATACTCCCTTAATAATTTCATCGGTGTGATTTCGTTGATAGCGATAGACTTCCTGTTCATAGATATAGTCCAGGGCCAGGGGTACCAAATCCCGCATGTGCTGCAAACACTGTAAGTTATTCTCCTTCTTGGGTAGAAGTTTTTCCATATAGCCAAGGAATTTTATTCTCAACAAATGTATTAGGGTGGAGGGTGAGGTTCTGTGCAGCATCTCCGCCAAATCGTGGAAAAAATCCAAATTCATCACGACAATGGGCACCGTTTCAAAATCACGCCTTTCAAGGCCAAAAAGATTTTCGAAAAATTCCTGAAAATCCGCATGGGGAATCTTTTCGATGAGTTCCCCCAAACTTAGCTGTTCTTCCCGGAAGGAATTGTGCTGCTTATGTAATTTGGCTAGGGATTTTAATACCTCATCCATATCGGCTGCCAATTGGCGATAATGGGGATTCAATGAACCCTCCAGCCGATCAACAATCCTCTGTTCATAGGCTGTATAACCCAAAATATTCACCTTATCCAATTCCAATTGGAAATGTGTGGAGTTAATATGTTTCATATCGAGGAGGAGGGGAAAGCCATTAAAACCCACAGCCTGCAAACGGCCCAGGGTGGACCAAAAATTCCAAAACTTTCCTTGCCATTTTTCTCCCATTCCCGGCCACTCCGCCAAACCCTGAGGTAGGGGTTTCAATATCTCCAAATAATATTCGGCCTCAAATTCCTTTTGCTCTTCACATATTTCCAAATATTTTCGCACTTTTTGATAGATTTCAATATTTTCGAAATTTCCCTTTCTATGCCTCCGCTGCCGCCCTCTCCTCCGTCCACCATGCAATATAAATTTCATTCGCTCATTGAAAATATAATCCAAGCTGCCAAATGTATCCACATACTTGTTGGTAAGATTTTGATGTATCCTCTCCCAATTTCCACAGGCATATTGATAGAAATTATCACAGGGATCCGCATCGACATCCATATAACTGTGAATGGTAGAGATGAGGCGGTTGGTGGGATTTTGATGATAGCCATGGGAAATTGTTATAAGGGGGAGTAGGAAAACTACAGTTTTCATGATGGAAATTTTTCTTGGTTCCATATTTTTTTTTCAAATTTTTCTAATTAGAATTACAATTGGATTTTTGTAATTGGATGTTTTCCTCTAAACATCAACTAAAACATATAAAATTTTTTCTTTTATTAATTTTCAATTACTTTTTTAAAATTTTTCTAATTAGAATTTTTGTTTACAATTGACTTTTTCTAATTGTTTTTTTTTTTAAAATTATTAATTATTAAATATTAAAATATTTTAATTTGTTTTCTTTTATTAATTTTCAATTATTAGTTTGTCTCCAATTGGATTTCTTTTCTTATTAGATTTTTTTGCACTTATCATATTAAAATATTTTAATCTTTTCCTTTTTATTAATTACTAGCAATTAATTTTTTATTAATTATTAATTTTCAATTATTATTTTTTATATACTGTCTTCTTATTAGCATTTTTAGGAAGATGGTAAATCATATTTTGTTTGATTTCTAATTAGAATTTTTAAATTTTTTTTATCAATTGTCAATTATTACTTTGGTTTCAATTTTTAATTATTTCTAATTAGAAATGTTTCTATTTGGATATTTTTCAAATTTTCTTGGATTGGATTGGATTTTTGGATTGGATTTTTCCACTTAATCTATAAAAAGTATTTTAATAATTTCTTTTAATTAATTTTGATTTTCTACTTTTTTCCAATTGGAATTTTTAATTTTTTCTTATTGGATTTTCATTAAATATATTTAAATATTTTAATCAATTATTACTTTTTTTTGTAATTAATTTTCAGAGATATGGTTATTTATTATTTTTTTTATAGAATTTTTAGATTGTTATTTTATTTTTTTTTATAAATTATATTTTAGATATATGGCATATCATATTTTGTTTGATTTCTAATTAGAATTTTTAGATTGTTTTTTATCAATTGTCAATTATTACTTTGGTTTAATTTTTTTTATTTTTTTCTAATAAGAAATGTTTCTATTTGGATATTTTTCAATTTTTCTAATTGGATTTTTCCACCTAATATATAAAAATATTTTAATAATTTCTTTTAATTAATTTTCATTTTCTACTTTTTTCCAATTGGAATTTTTGATTTTTTCTTATTGGATCTTTTTTATAAATTATATTTCATTAAATATTTTTAAATTTTTTTCTTTATTTAATTCTCAATTATTACTATTTATAGGTTGTCTTCTAATTAGAATTTTAGAGATATGGTTATTTATTATTTGTTTTCTAATTAGAATTTTTTGATTGTTATTTTATTTATTCTTTTTTATAATTTTTTTTCTAATTAGATTTTTTTCCAATTTGTTTCTAATTTGATTTAATATTAATTTGTATTTGTTTTTTATTTTAATTTTTTCTAATTAAAAATGTTTCCATTTGGACCATTTTCGATTTTTTCCAATTGGATTTTTTCCACTTAATCTATAAAAAGTATTTTAATTATTTCTTTTAGTCAATTTTCATTTTCTACTTTTTTCCAATTGGATTTTTCAATTTTTTTCTTATTGGATTTTCATTTAATATATAAAAGTTGTTTTTTTTTTCTTTTTTAAGTCTCAAATATTACTTTTTGTCTTCTAATAAGAATTTTAGAGATATGGTTATTTATTATTTGTTTTCTAATAAGAATTTTTAGATTGTTAATTTATTTTTTTTATAAATTTTTTTTCTAATTAGATTTTTTCCAATTTGTTTCTAATTACAATTATTTGTTTTCCATTTGAGTTTTTTCTTATTGGATTATACTTTTTAATATATTGTTTTCTAATTAGATATTATAGAGAGCAAGTAAAATATTTGTGTTTCTTAATTCCATATATCTTTTTCAATTTGTTTCTTGGTAGATTTTTTGAATTTCAATTGTTTTTTTCCAATTGGATTTTTTTTCAATTTTTTCAAAATGTTTCTTTTAAATAATTTGTTTTCTTTTTTACTA